AGACTAAATAAAGGGTTCAGTTTGAAATTCCAACAAATATCACATGAAGAAGGTCAGAGCATACAACAGCTGAAACATGGGGAATATGGTAATAAAGATGAGGATAACAGTTCAAACAATGTAAATGGTGAAATAGCTGTACAATTAGTTGTTGAAATATTCAAAATGGATAGATATGTTCAAGATAAAGCTTGTATATTCAATTAAAAATATTAACCACATTGATAATCAGCAGGGAAAGTGAATTCAACATTCTGAGTTCAATTCCCTCTCAGTTCTGTTTCATTCACTTTGTGCTAAAGCCTTTTTACAAGCTTGTTAGATAGGCTATTGATAGAGTTCAAAAGTGACTACATGACCTTTTGGGTGATGAATTATAATCCACTCCACAATCCCTTTCCCAGTCAGGAATTAATGTTAGTAATTATAGACAAGGGCCATGATATGTATAATGTAAATGCATTGCTAATTTTTTTTTTTTTGTTTCACCCCAAACAAGGCAATAATGCCCCTAAGACACAAAGGGTTACTGAGAGTGAAAGAAAATGAGAAGACTCTAGTGAGGAGAAAGGACAATGAAAGAGGTTTTAGGAAGACAGACGATGGTCATTGACACTGCATTTAAATTTTGAAAGATCTGGCAGGGTAGCAATAGGCCAGAAGAGACTTCCACGTGGAATAAGTCCAAGATAAGAAACTATTAAAATAGAAATTATGGTTAGATCTGGTTATTCCAACAGTAACACGGTGAGACCTAGTTGCCAATCTAGTAGAATGCTTATATTCATGGTACCAGTGATGCATAGATAATCAGAAAAAAAAGGATTGTCATTGGTCAAGAATTAATGCTCGTACTTATAGATAAGGGCTTTTATATGTATAATGTAAATGTATTGCTAATGATTTTATTATAGAAATGCATAGGTAATCAATAAGAAAGGGATTGTCACTGGTCAGGAATTAATGCAATCATTACTGATAGAATAAAGCTATAATATATATAACAATCAGGGAGATAAGAAGCCAAGATGGTGGAAATCATTCTGTGTTATGTAAATCTATGTAGCTATGTTAATTGTATGTTAATTGTATGTTAATTGTATGTTAATTGTATATGCAGCAAGTTGCCTGAAGCAATGAACAGCCCTGAAGATTAAAGAGGGAGACAACTGTATGCATTTCTTCTTTTAGAAGAGAGACAACAACAATCATGATAATCAGCTGATGGAGATTAACCGAGTCAGCTTTAAATTAAACAAGTCCCATCAAAATGAGTTGCAGGTATTGAGCATTATTGATATAAGGATTAAAAGGAAATCTATAAAAGTTTATCTAGTCTACATAAGTAAATATATTTTCATATATCCTGTTCTCTGTGTGCTACTAAATGTCATGGAGGGTCTTGTAACAGGAAAGAGCTATGGTAGAAAGATTCATTCTCCCATTTACGTTTTCCCTGTTATGGGCATTATTATATCCATGATATAATAACGCCATAGTTTACAAACAGAACAGAATGGCTGAAAGGAAAATGAATGACAAACATGATTTGCTCTCAGAGAGATTTTTATATCACTAAGACATACACAAAACTATATATACGTGTGTCTCCCACACGGAGAATAATATATCACATATATCTTAACAGCAAAGCAGAGTGTAAGGAGAAATGAAAAGGAAGGGTCTTACATATAATATAGAGATACTCTTGTATCTGGAGAAGCCAATTTTAGGACTCAAGATTCAAACGGGTCAGATTCATCTATGTCCCAGGCAAGGACATATTCAATGAATGGGAAACAGCAAGTGTCAGATTTTCTCAAACTGTGACCTCGAGTTTCTTTCTATATCAGGGAAAGATATATTAACAAAGGGAAATAGCACCATGGACTTGTAAGCTGCTGTGGAAGCAGATTTAGCCTCTTGCCTGGATCATGGAGGGACTGGGCTAAAGAAAGCAAACTTTCGCTTTGTCTGCTGTAAAATAAACTGAAATTGACTGCTGCTATACTCACTGTATGAAGTGACACCACTAAGTAGTTGTCATCTGATGCACGTGACTTATCTTCACCAAAAGGAGATAAGTGACTTCTGTATCCCTACAGTTTCAAAACCACGGATAATTTCTTATGAAATTTAATAAATAGACTTATTGAAATGTCTTATAACAAAAGAACTAATCAAATTTTCTTCATTGAGAAAATGAAGATATTAAAATCATCCATTAATTTTTTTTTATATGGTAATAGTAATAGTGAGATTAGCCTTTTCCATTCAGGAAACATTTGACATTCACTGATCGAAGAGTTAATATTACCATTGGTTGAAATTTATAAAATCTTTCCCATAAAACAGTTTTTCAGGAAAATACATTTATCAAATCCACTGTCATCACTCTTTCTTGTATTGAGGGGAGGGTTCCTTCCTTCTTAATTTTTTGTTTAAAGTAGTCAGAAAAGTGAAAAGTGAACATATTGATTATATTAGATCATTGCAAAAGTCCATGCTCTATTTTCATTGTTAATATAATATGACTGCAATTTGACACTGGCATTTGTTTTGGTA